TGCCATTTCGAAATCGTATTAAGTGAGCATAAACTTCAGGTCCATGTTGAGTGTACTGTACCCTAATTTTACGCGTGCGCTTCCTAACGTGCGCGTAAGCACGCGTCAAAATACGTACGTGCATATGCAACATACGTACGTGCACATCAAACATAGGTATCTTTGTGCCGATATACAGTGAAATTATGCTAAAATCAGGCCTATTTTTAATCAGTTATAGCTCCTTAGGATTAAAGGTGACCACCAATTTTTATTACATATTCTGAAAGCACTCATGAGTTGTAGATATGATTTTTTAGATCATAATGGCTTATCGGACATTGTGACTTCATCATATTGCCATCTGAATTCAACAAAACTGATTTTATCAATGACGTCATTTTTTAAAATACGCATTTGAGCGTATCTCGCTTATCCTTGATCGTTCGTCTTTCAACTTTGAGTATGTTATAGCTAAGACAATTCTCTTTCATATATATGACTTCTTTTTACATTTTAATGACGTCATCATGGTCAAAAAAATGTTTTTTCTGACCCACTCACTTTAAGTGAGCATAATATTCAGGTCAAGGTTGAATGTCATGTACCTTAATTTTCCGTTTGCGATTTTTAGCGTTTAAAATTTATGTATGCATAAAACTATCAATATTTTAAATCAGTTATAGCTCCTTAGGATGAAAGGTGACCCCCAATTTTTATTACATATTCAACATGAGTTGTAGATACAATTTTATAGATAATGGCTGATCGGACATTGTAACGTCATAATATTTCCATTTAAATTAAAGACAAAACTTAATTTTTATTTACGACTCGTTTGAACGTATCTCGCTTATTCTTGATTGTCTCCCATCTGTGAGTATGTTATAGCTGAAACAATTCTCTTATCGGACGTGTCCCTTTACTTTTTATATTGATCACGTCAGCATGGTCTAAAAGAATGAATTTTTGGAGCCCATTTATCTCACATGCTTAAAAGATGTGAAAAAAACAAACAAAATACAATACAGAGAGGGCGGCAGACTGTATTTCGACGCTATCAGACTGATATAGGTCATATGAAGGGAAAATTTGTGTGGCATTACCAACAGGCGGTTTTAAATGTTTAAATGACAATGTCCAATTTCGTGTGCCATTACCGTACACGTACACATCATGACGTGCGCGTTTTAAAATTTGAAAATTCTCAATATCAATATTCAGATAGTTAAAGAACGTTTCGAGTCATTTTTAGCATTCCTAAACTTAATTTATGCGTTCATTTCCACGCGCACAGCACGTACTAAAGGTAGAAATTACGTTTTGTTACATATTTTGTGTTCCTGACACTGTATTCATATCAGGAGTCACTCTTTGTGCAATTACCGTGCTCACGGGCGTCAAGACGTACGCGTACGCATGCATAAGTCTTTTAAAATGCTCAAAATTATTCTTTTTTTAAAAACTAATTTCAGCATATTATAAACTTTTCAATCAGCACCACGCACGCTTCCTGAGGGTCAAAGTACGGCGGATCACCAAACTCGTCCTCAGTGACGAGTTCAAATCTAGTGTTTAATTGTGAATATTCTTCAGTTTTTTAAGTATTAGGAAAGGGACGTTAGCACTTAAAATGTCCGCAACTTCACACCTGAATATAGATCACAAAAATGTCACAATTTCTTCCTTGTAACTCATTCAGATCATTTAATCCATTTTTCGAAATATCATATCATATCATTGATTTCACCAATAAAAGCAATGCAAAATTTTATTTTACCTTCCTTGCTTTAAAGGACGATAAGATACGGCCCGCCTAAAAATTGAAAATCTATTTTCGCACAATGCTTTGTTGGATATTTGGGGAATGTAATATTCTAAAAAAATATTCTACCCAAATTTGAATGGTGTTTCTTGAAAGAGGGGAGAGTTTCATTATTTGTAGCAATTTGACAACTTTTTATCTTTGTTAACACGTTGCTGAGGGCGCCAGGGACGAGTATACTCGTCAAAATCAGGGTAACATTCTAGCGTTTATAACTCCTTTGTTATACATTGTAGAACCACAGTCTCAACGGCTGGTAGTTCGGGGAAGATACACCTAGACAATAACGTACATATGACGTATGTATGTTTGTTGTGTTATGTTGCCAGTAGTACACTTGAGCGGTACAAGTGGGGGCGCCCTTTGAACATATACCAACCCATGCAAAAAGCGGACGAGATAACCCGCACTTGGTATAGTCAATAACACGTTCTATCACAGTGCCGTCGACGAGTATACTCGTCCCCTAATATTTTCCCACCAATTTATTAGACACACATCATTTTGATGATATATGACTAGATAAAATTTCAAAAAAGTATGTTTGTACATGTAAACTTGTTCTGGTGTACTTGAAGGAACCTTAAAAAAAGGTCTGGCAGTCAACGTGTTAAAGGGGGTGTGGTACCGCAATTTTAGAAGGTCATAACTGAAATACCACTTGGAAATTGAAGCTGAAATTTGGGATTTTTTCTTTTGAAATACCAATGAATTTTTAGATTGTTGTTTTTCAGGAAAATTCAAGAGGGTTCAAATGGGAACTTTAAATTTCTGGCTGATTTGAGCTGGAATGACCCAAATATATAACAATTATTATTTTATTATTAACATTACTATTAGTAGGTTATTATTGCAATCAAAATTATTGTTTTTTATTTTTTATTTTAAATTATTATTTATTTGATGGTAACATGATGGCGTGAATATCTAAGGCAAAACCCACCATTGTTGGGACTGAGACAAGAATATTTCTGATTATGGCACTTGTAGATGGCCAGAAATGGCACTCTCAGACCTAAATTTGGTTTTAAATTTTTCCCTTTCTCTATTTTATGTATAATTTTGAAAGGATTAGGGCCCCTCCGCGGCTTCCTCCCCACCCTCCTTTGAATCCGCCACTTATTTTATTATCACCAGTCAAACTCTAATCTTAAATTTTGTAGGTTATATTGTATGTGATATTCAGCTTCTCATATTGTGTCTGAATATATGGGTGCATGCAAGCATGGGTTAGAATGTTCTTGTAATAGCAGATTTCCATTGTCTGTCAGCAATCATTAAATTGAAATCTCCTATTTGGCCCTAGTCTATTTTTGCATAATATTTAAAATAACGACTATTGGAAACCATTTTTCAAAGTCTCAATCCAGGTTGCTAAACCAAGTTATTTTTTTCAACTTCAGCCCCAATCATGGTGGAGCAGATGTGAAAGTGAGCTCTTCTAGTACTTATTTTCCCTCTGATTTTTCCCTTTGATTCTGTCCCCTGAAAATGATAAGAAAATATTATAATATAACTTGCTCATTTTGCAGTAACATATCAATTAACTTGACAATGTGTACCCTGATATTAGATAAATAATAAAAATAATAAAACACATCCAGTGGTTGAAGTCTTTCTGTCATTTCTGCTGTAAAGATTTTTCAGATCAACAAATTTCTATGTTTAAGTTGATAATTTTTATTTCAAAAATGATTTTACATTTTGGTATTTTTCATGTGACAATACATCTTTAAATATCACCACCTAACATTTTCTTTTGTTTAACATGTTGTTCTTTTGATTTTGTTCCGTTTTTTTCTACCTTGTTTAGCAAACCCGCAGTACACTCTTAAAAAGAGGAGGGGTTTGTCAACTGGTGTAATGCCCAAGCACCACCAGAAGGACCCTACTTGAATTAAGTCTTCTTCTAGATTAAAATAAATGCAATCCAATAGTTTACAGGCAGTCACATGACCTAACTTGGGTACACATGAAAAAAATTACAGTGCGATAGCATAGTAAAAGATAATGTTATGGTTGCGAAAACAACCACCCACTGTTAACGTGAAAAGTAAATGGCTATAGGAAAGGCAATACAATTGTTCAAAAATAGTGTTTATTTACTTATCCTAGTGTTCTCCTTGGATTGTATGCTTTGAAATTTAAGTGATCCTACATAAAACTTAGCTGGCCCTAACATCGCAGCGTAGTTTGCGGGTCGAAGACCATTATGCACACCTAACCATGCCGTAGATGTGCAGGGGCCTAGGCCTAACATTTGTCAAAAAATCTCAATGTTTGCAGCCAGTATCCTTTACAGCATTAGCAAAACATTAAGGCAAAATTCTTAAGTTTAATTTCCAATGAATTTAGTACAGTTTACTGGGAATAATGATGATCTTTACAGCAATATACAAGGGATGGCCATGATAGAAATCTTTATGTAAAACACCGCTGTGTCAGTGGATTGTTCATATCCAGCACCCAAGTTAGGTCATGTGACACCCATCGCTAAATCCCTCTATTCAAATATAAAATGAAATTTTAGACAAAAATAAGTTTTTCTTTATTTTTATTACGCCCACTGCTGCGGTGAAATCTGCAAAATTAATATATGTATTTTTCTTCCCAATTATATAAATTTAAAGCATTTAAACCATCCCAGTGCTACACTGTTTACATTCACCAATACAAATTTATTTTTGTTCTCCGTCTGGATGTTTTTGAGAAGCAGCACCTTTCAAGAAAAACAAGGAATAAAAAGTCCCTAAAATCTTCCGACTGATATAATTTCTTCATTCCTTAAAATTTAAAAAATTATCGTTGTCTCTCTACCTGCAGTTTCTTATTCTTAATTTTTTTTTTTTTTTTTTTTTTTTTGTGCAGATGCAGCAACCAACAAAACTTTTTTGCAGATGCAGCAACC